ATTCCTGATTTTAAATTTTCTTCATCTAACTGCATTTGTTCCGAGATTACAAATATTCATAACAAGCTGAGTTACCCGGCGTTGCCCGGGATATTTTTTAGGAGTATTTTTAGGTTGGGTGGTTAGGGTGGTGTGGTAGTGATGAGTCAAATACTGACCCTGGCCAAACAGTACTTGACTTGTGGCTTCTTGAAGTTAGTTGTAGACTACTTGAAGTGTCTTGGCTTTGTTGAAGGGGGCCTTATAGAACTTACCAACTTCACTGTGGATGCAAGTGAAACTGGTAAGCAAAAGCCAGGGCAGCTTTACTACTGTTAGTTAGCTAAGGTGAACCAATTTTTTTTTATTTTTGACAGTGATTTCTGTCGGGGTGTGTCATCCAGATTTTTTTCGCACCAAATGGGTTCTAGGAACCCGTAGAACCCCAATCCTTTGTCCCTGTCTCCCTAGCTGGCCTGGAACACCCTTTTTGGGACTCCGAGACCCCCCCCCCCCGGAGCCGCCCCCCCTGACCCCGACCCCCTATGACCTGCTATTGGACAGACCCCACCCTCCTGCGAAGGTTTCAGGTCGATATCTCCAACGGTGTCCGAATGCATAACGTCAGATGGACAGAGACAGACAGAGATACTTGCTTATAGAGATTGATATTCCAATTATTAAAAAAAGTCACACTAATACCACAAAAATGGCAACGTCTACGTTTCACCTTTTCCAGTAGGGACTCGCTCGTCTTGGTTTCACCAGGCCCACCCATACTACGAGGCATATGTGGACCGAGGAAAATTCTACGTCCTTGATAGCCTGTATTCCCTCTCCTTCCTTCCTCCTGATATCTTTCCCCGTCCCCTCTAACAACTACAACCATCCATTAAGCAATCGGGTGGATCTCGTAGGACTCTCTTCTCAGTGGAATGCATTCACTAAACGAACCTTCAGCTGAACTGTTCCCTGAACCGAGCTCTCTGAAAGTAGCTACCAGTTTTTCTTTCCCGATTGGAGCTCGTCCATTCACCTTCCCAAAAAAACGTTTCCCGACCTACGTCGTGTATCGCCACTTCCAATTGCCATTCCTGATCAACTAGGGCTTCAATGCATGAAGTTTTTCCCGTATCTTTCAAAATCCATTGCTGCGCTTCTGCACACGACCACATGGAGAAAGGAAGGTGTTGATCGTTCTGAACACATTCGTTTTCTTTCTGCTTACATTGCTTCATCAACGTCTTCTGCCCTCTTTCAGATTAATGCTGAAGAACTAGCGCAATAATATGAATTAATAGGTCCGCATCCCTCCTGAGCGTTTCGAGCAAATGATCATTTCCCACTAGATTTCTCTGGCACGTTGTTCGTGACCTCCACCACCAAAAGATACATATTTTCAGGCTAAACTGGTGACAGTGGAAACCAGACTACGTTGATTACTTTCTTCGATTTTCCTGGAATTCCTGAACTATGAAATCCCTAACTTTTCAATGTAATCTGTTTTCTTTCATTTTAATTTCCTTTGACTAATGAAAATCAAATGAACCTGATAGCGAGACATGTGGACCCTCCCGACGTTGGGGAAGCACCCGTTGTCCAGCTGCCTGGAGGTGATCCACTCCAGGCTCTCCAGCAATTGGTCCTGATCGATGGAGATGAAGTGAAGAGACTGCCCGAAGCCCTTCACCACGAAGGCCGTCAGCCACATGGAACTCTCTTTGTCGTTCTTCCCGAACGCACTGAACGACCCATCGTCGTGCTTATATTTCAACTCCATCTGGTACCCTGAGTAAAAGGAATCGCTGAGATGTCGATTTTCCAGAATGGCGAGAAGTGGATGACGCGCACCTCGTGGACTCAACTTGTTTTGATCCCCCCAAAAAATCCAACTATGCTTCTAAGACTGTTTACCAAAACTAAACTATTTTGAGTTCATTGGGTTCATCAGGACAATTTTTTGCTTAACTGACCGATCTCCATATTGTGGGTGAGTTCCGCCATCAGTTCTGGCTTGAGTTGATCCGTGGTGTTTAAATATTGGAGAAAGAAGATGTTCGGTGCCAGAGTGACCATGTTGTGCTCCGCGCTGCCCGTCGGAAACCTTACCAGAGACTTAATTCCCTGCAAGACACACATTCTCCATGATAGAGACACGGATAGTCAATGCACTGTGACAGCGACAGTGAAATGCCACTACGAGACGCCATGACAACTAAAAATAAGATCCAAGACTAGATGAATTGTCAGCCTAGTAGGGAAATTTTGGCGGAAAGATAGGGGGGGGACTGACAAGTGCCAAAACAAATGTATTATAGGCCTGAGAGATTTCAGCCTTGCCTTCGTATTGTTGGTCATCTCCAAAAAGTAAAGGTTTTTAGCAAAACTTATTATAAGCAGTGAGTGTATGCCTTTATTTTCTTAGAACAAAGCGAATAATATCGGTTCAAGAGGGACTACCCATGAGTCTCTATCATTTCTTTAATTATTGCTGTCATCTACTCTTCATCTACAAAGCCCGCCTTTTCTTCACATTTGTTTCTCGTGGAGAGTAAATATTCATGAAATCACAAGAAATGGTGAGATTGCATTCAATTTTGTCAATTTTATCAATCGCTTACTGTACTATGCCAAAACGAACGAACACGCTGGCTTCCCCAAACAGAAGAAAAAGCCTTAATTAATCGTGAAAGACCCTCAGATGAAGGAAGAGAAGGATGGAGTCAATGGGACTACCTGCAGCGAGGGTCCAAGGAGGTCGCCAGAGGCGGTGACCCACGCTCGAGCGGAATCCGGCACCACATCTTTCGGCAGGCTCAGCAAGTGAGACTCATTCACCTCCCCATCTCCCTCTGGGGATGAATGAGAAAGCCCTTTGTTTCAAAGAGCATGGGCTATAGCAAAATAAAACCATCATTAACAGTTGAAATTCTCATAGACCTCCAATGAGGAATTCAATTTTTTGGATTGGAGAATCGGAACTAAGGAGTCCTGCGCATAATAAAATCTGCCTTCAGGCTTCACTTTAACTTGGAAAGGGTAAATCTAAATAATTTAATTTCACTTCAAGAGAAAAGAAATACATACCGCAAAAATACCAGTTCTTTGTGTTTTCCACAGGGAAGCCTTCAGGCTCTACTCGGACGGGTTTCACAACGGCGTCCCTGAAATAGAATCATGCATTAAAGTTAGATTTTACTATTGAACAACACATGAAATTCTGGAAAGAAAAATTTAAATGTCAGATTTTATATGAGAACATTACTACTACTAGTAGCTATTTTGAACGAAGGAAGCTTAGCAGACACGAGGCTGACAAATAATGACGTTTCTTGGTTTCTCTCACGGTTTCAACAGATGATTTAGACCTCAAGTCCCCGGGAACATGAGATCTAAATCACATATTGAATGGACATGGACAACCCTCTGCATGACCGCATGCCTGGTGTGGTATCTACAGACACCAAGCAATTTCCTCCTATACTTATTTTACTTTAAAATTTTCCTTTTATATTTTAAATACATATATCCCTATAGCCGTGGGACCTCAGTAGCCTCCTTTGAACCTCAGTGGGAGTGAAAGTCTCCTGACGGATACGATCGCTTCAAGTCCGGGTCGCTACACGTTTCCGTGCCGAAATTATGAGGTCAACGATATGCTCTCGGGATCGCTTCTTGTACAGACGAACTCCAATACTCCTTTCATCATTCGTGAATAAGATACAGCCCTGCTTAACGACCACTGAAGGAAGCGCATTTTCGCGAAAGGAAATTACATGAGAGAAAGTGTGCGAAGTGCAAGGAGGGGTGAGTTCGCACCACCATCTCTTCAGGATTCACCGTGTTTACAACTCGGCGCGAAAGAGAACAGGAAACGAAAAGCTTCTGTCGCCACGAAGCGGCGGGAAGGGGGGAAAACTTGTTTCACTGGTTTGGGGATGATTTATTCGTTTTCTTTTCTCCTTTCTTTCCAGGTGAAGCATGGAAGACCAAGGAAAGCGATGGGACTGAATCATTTTTCAAGATTTTTTTCTTGTCAGGATATCCTGCATGGTTGCAATCCTTCAAGAAGTGGCGCGAGCATCGGTCTTTGGGATTGAGTGGAGACCTAGAGCTATCATCCATTCTCCTCTTCTTTCAAGAGAATTTGGGAAAGCATCACAACCAAATATCACGCAGGTTTTTCCATTTCCTTTATCCACGATTAAATCTAATTGCTCTGATACATGCAGTTTTTCTTACATAACGAATGGAAAAAGTAGCCAGAGAGAGGAAATAGTGAGAAGCTAAGAGGGAATACGGGGAAATACCAATGGATGAGAGAGAATAGGCTACACATCGAAAAACTTTCGACGCATAAGCTACATCAGAAAGAATAGGACAAAGGAGATGGGGAGGCAAGCAGAGCGCAAAGGAAGGATGAGTGCACGAGAACAGCGAATAGTGAGAGAAAGGAAATGTCCCTCTGTCGCGACTACTGGGAAAATAGTGAACCGAAAGCGTACACGAGGGCCCTTTCATGCGCATCCTTGTGACGTCACTCTGCATGCGCGCATATTCACGACCTCCTCTAGGCCGGGGCCTGAAAAAAAAGTTGATGCACTGTCTGGCATTGGAACCATCCTTGTCCTAGTAACTTTCCTCGTGTATTTACACGAATTTAACTCGTCCATTTAAAAATAGGCGAGAGACTATAACGAAATAAAATTACTAAATATTTTTCACCTCATCTGCTAATTCAAGATAATCAATTTCGATACGAGATGCTAACTATCCAGACGTGAAAGACGCTCAAGCGTGCAGCAATGAAATGCACGTATTTCTACCAGAAAAAACAACAATGACTTAATGCCGTCTAAAGACTTCATCAGGAAGTGCCATACAACTTCGGAAGTCTTCTAGTGGAAGTTAATGGGAAAAAAGCAGTCGATATGGACAACTCTTGGAAACCGGTCATGTTCTAAAGAAGGTCACGGGTTATATACGCCAGAAGGGCATTTTTTTCTCATCCACGTGGCCACCTATCGAGAGATTGGGACAAACCTGACGGCCAGAATGCCTTTCGGTCCGCAATCATCGGGGAAGCTGAGGTCGACTTGAGCCACAACGGTGATGTTGACCTCTCCGAGTTTCAGGAAGACGAGATCGAAGGTCACGACTTCCTTCCCTTGCCCCTCCAGGCACAGGCTCTTCTCCGTGTCTCCGTTCGCCTTGAAGGACTCGGATCCCTTCACCTCAATTTGGACCTGTTGAATGAAAAAACCAGAAATTGAACAGACGAAAAACTCAGATTTAATATATTCTCTGAGGGAAACGAGAGACACACAGGGAGAGGATGTTCCATATATTTGAAGATGGAGATCTGGAGGGGAAGGATCTCCCCTAGCTTGATCGAATAGGGAAGAATGAGGTCGAGTATGAAGGGCTGGGAGACGATGAGGGATTGAGGGGAGGACAAGCCCAGTCCCACCAGCGGGGAACTGCACACCGCTGACCCCACCCACTCCGTGATGGTGTCCGGCACCTCCAAATCGTCCAATTCCAACTTCCCTGCATATAGGAAGACAAAGGAGGGATAATAACGGAAGTTCTTTCGAGATTTCTCCTTAATCCGATCCACCGACCTGTTTCCCCGACGGTCTCGAGGGACCACAGCCACGTCTCTGGGAAGTAGTCGCGAAGCTCCACGGGAAGGATCTCATTGTTGAACGCCAGCTCCCACGTGTCTCCATCCAATTCATGCGTATGCTTGGCAACCAATGCGTATGTCGGCGGAGAATCCGCAAACGGCGGAGAATCCGCAAACGGCGCAGGTGCTGTTGTTGTAGTGTATCTGACTTCTGTTGATGTTAGTCCCGCGTCGGTAGGGCAGGGAAGGGTGTAAACTCTCAGGTCGGATAGCACCAAAAGCCCCGAACGCTTCAGAGAGGGGGAAAAAAAATCCGGTCAATTTCAGAATGGCAATAATTCTAGTCAAATATGACAACTCACATCGAAGGACGTAAGGGCATGACTGCGGAAATCATAACTTTTAAAGCCATCTATCGGGTCTCGATCCTCATCTGCATGGAAAAGGAAACTGTCGAGGTAATTCAGGGAAATCTCAATTCGCAGGCGGGTCTCTCCACGATCTACCACTTAATTATTCTACCATATATCGGCACGTACAATCTCCTGAATAGTCATGCATATGACTGTCAGGAATCCGATTATTGTGATTCATTTAAATGTCACGGATATGCCTCTCTCATATTGTGGGGAGGGGGGGGGGGAAAGAAAAAGCCCTAAACGAGGTTAAAGACGTGCCATGACGCTCCTCATAAGCAAACCCAGCCAAAATCAGACACGGCCGACTGATGCATACCGTGTTCGTGTTTCACCACATCGCCTGTGGTTTCGAGTACGAAAGAGAAAGCAGGGAATGCTCCTCATTTTGATTTTGTGTTATAGACCGAGCTCACTAGAAAGTGCTCGTCGTTCTTGATATCCCTTGAAGGCTTCTTCATTCCGTAAATATCACCGGTCTGGTTTAAATATTGTTTAAATGCAGAGCTGCCATCATGTAAGATATTTTTGGATATTTATCCTTTTCAGCCGGATTTCCCGCCGATATCGATCAAGTAAGCATGTAGAGAAATCATCGTCCAAGTAATTCCACATCATGGACGACCAGTTGAGAAAGAAAAAAATATATAAACAAATAATAATAATAAAGATGAAGCGAGACTTGCATGCAGGAAGCTACCATACTAGAAACCTTTTTTCGAGGGCCGATGGCTGAGGCAGAAGTCCTTGTCCGTGCTCTGACTGGGGAACTCGTAGCCATAGATCTGGAAGCGCTCCAGCGCCTCGAATACTTTTTCCAGATTCAGCTGATGCCCCGGTCTGAGAAGGTCCACGCTCTTGTCCACCACCCTCAACCCACAGACCGACTCCGGCTCGGCCTTCACCTTCAGCCCAACCTTCGATCCAGGCCCCACTTCTTCCTCTTTCCATTTCAGTTCCACCTGTCAACCAACGATGACGATTCGCATGAGTTTTAGAGGTTATTGATGCGACTAGAAAAAAATGAAGAATCACCTTGTTGGAGAGGCACTTATCCACCCGGAAAGTGAGGTGATCGGACACCACCTCCCCGTCGGGCCTGAAGTAGAAGACCACCAGTTTGCTCTCGGGTGCCATCTCGGGCGTCACCTGGATCTCCACCGAGGCCTTGCTCAGGTGCTTCGGTATCGGAGCCTTCTTGTCCGACTGGTAGACCAGCAGCTCCGGGTCACCGGACTCCTCTTCCTCCTCGTCCGACTTGTGATCGAAGGCCTTCGAGACCAGGACATCCCCCCGGGCAATCACCTGCACACGACGGCGAAAAACACCCTCGATTACGCAGCGAATAGAAGCCACCACTCAATCGATCCAGTTCATCTGTGAAGATTGGTAAGCTGATTCAAAAGAAATTCATCATTTTTATGCATCATAATTTTCATAAATCATCATTTCCATGCAAAATCAGTTTTAAGCATTATTATTTTCATGCAGAAGCTTGTTCACAGTATTTCCGTTTGGAAGGTGAGGCAGTAGGCAATAAATGTTTTTATTTGATTTATTACGGCGATGAGCGTCTTTTTGCCTAATTGTTTTTCGCCTAATTTGTTTAGTAGTTGAGCATGGAGCCCGCTTCCATCGAGGTCGCGAAACTCACGACACAACTTCGAGGCTGATTTCGGAACGACATTTCAGTTACAGTTAGGTTTAGTTTCAATTCAGTTGACTAAAAGGCGCAAACTGCGTTTTTTTTTAAATCAACCAACGTCCCTAGGAATCGTATGGCGTCATCCAGCTCGCAGTAAGAGAAAGACAGGAAAATGTGAAATTCATTTAAGTTTCTATTAAAAGAAAGAATTTCATTTTAAATAAAAGCGACAGAACTTCGGAAAGCGTTGAGCGGAGGCGAAATGAGGAGCAATTAAATCTTGCATGGATGCGAACAAGCACTGCATGATATATTTTCTCATTAAAAAATATTGAAAATAAATCATTTTAACCCTTGCATTGAATGAATATCAATGAAAGTTTTTCTCAAATCTAAAGTATTTGCAAAAGCCATATAAAAGGAGCTCATGGAAAAGAATAACTAACAAAAGAAAACTGAAGTCGCAAATTATCCATGTGGTTTATATACAGTATTATCATGAGAACAATATACGGAATATATCAAGTTAAAAGTATTTTAGCAAAGTAAAAAAAAATTGGAGATCCCGAGAGATGCTAAATTTCGGAGACCGCTATTTAACTCCGATGCTGCACGGGGTCGATCTCGATCGGTCCTTATCGAGGAATTCTTGTTTCTTTCTCGCGTGATGAACTCGATAGATGACTCGGTGGAAATGTCCCGGGAATAGGGAAAGCGAGGCAATGCAAACCGTTTCCTAGGCATTACCTCACTGTTTCTCAAGCAACGCTTTTTTCCAGACAAAACCAGGAATGTCACGGCTGAAAATTTAAAATTAAGAATGAGTTTCACGCAAAATTAGATTCCCATGTTGCCACGTGTTTGAGTTGCTATCTCGAACTTCATTATTGATCTGCCTGTCATGCCTCATCCTTGATTTGCATCTCAAACCTCATCCTTGATATGACTGCAAATTGAAAATTTGGACACTGAAGAATGCATAACGATGTGAACCAGGCTTTCAATTAATTTTTCACTCTCAATATTTATTTTTATTTCCTCTGCCCGAGATCCACATTCAATCCGGTCACAATCCGGCAATAATCCGATAAGTCACCTGGTAGTGAATGCGTTGCTCGGCTTCAGGCGTCGACGTGGAGTAGAGGAGGTCGAAGCGGAGCGTCTCCCAGCAGCGCGCCTGGCCCACCTGGCCCCCTGGACCCCCTTTCCCCCCCGGGCCCCCCTGGCCTACTGGATGGAGGATATGGATGTACTCCTTGGACGGCGAGTACCAACCGCTCACCGTCTTGTAAGCGTCGTCCGAGTGGACCTGCTTCCCCCAATAGGAAGTTTCTTCTTCTTGGTTCTTCGGGAAGTTTTTCTCCAACCCGGGAGCTGTGACCTGGTGAAGTGGTGGTCAATCTCATTCTATTCAAATTTTTAATTTATTTTTCCCGGTTGCTCCTTGAGTGAATTATGTGGGGGTAACGTCTTCGCTCTTGAAATATTATCAATAAAAGATTATGTGCATTATAGGAATATTCAACATTATTCATAATATAGAAATCTGGGTGATTTTTGCATGAAATTTCTAAGGAAATGTTCGCATTTATGTTTCTCATTTCGTTAAGCGCCTCAGAAAAACCTCGAATAATCGATAACAAATTTTCGACGCTCGGAACTTAATTCACCATCATTTATTTATTTCCAAGATGGAAACTGAGTGAATATATAAATGAATGGGATGAAGCGATACCTCGATACTGAAGTAGGATTCCTCTGGGACCAGCGGAGGAATCTGGAACCGGACGAGGCCCTTGGAGTCGGTAGTGAAATTCCGGCAGCGTCTCATCCGTTCCTCCTCCGACCCTGGAGAGAGATCCGGTCAATCTCTAGAGTTCGGGTGCATCGATTGTGCATCGCGGAAATGCTCACTCACGGTAGGACGGGAGTTTGCAGATCTGGATCTTTTGGCCTCGGAAAGGCGACCCGCTCTTGTCCTTCACCTTCACCTGTCGATTGTAAATGCTCAGATAATCTCGTGGGATAATCTGGTGATGATCTCGTGGAGATGCGATCATGTTCGATTTGAGCTACGGCATGTGGAATTGGAGACCAGCGGGATCAATTCCGGCATGCAGAACGACACCCGAGACGAGGCATGGACAGCGCAAGTTTGAGGAGGAACAAAGAGGAACGAGGGAGTTGAGGATGAACGAGGAATATGAGAAGGAACGAAGAAGAACGAGGAAGAACGAGGAAGATGAGGATTCATTCTTCCTCAGGATAAAGGGAAACAGTCATGCTACGTGATCGCAACGGAACCATGCGGAAAGGAATGACGCTTTGCCGGGGTCTCCATGTTCCTCTAGCACACATTTTTTGTGTTGTTTTGTTTATTTATATACATGTTATTATGTTTTGCTTATTTTAATAATGTTCTATTTGTATTTATATATTTTTTGGAAAATTGAGAAAAACGCGATGCCGACTGACGGAGATGGAGCCCGGCGCATATTGGAAAAAAGGCTTTGAAGAAGAAGCCGAAAAGGTGAATGAAGTAAATTGGCCATCGGATGGCACAGCCGCGAAGGACCGGCTCTAATCAGCGCCGGTCGCCGAGCGAGACGAATCCCGAAGAAGGGGTGGGGTTTTCACTTTTGGACGGTTTTACTTCCGATTTCTGCTCATCATTTAAGTTACTCATTATTATTTAATTTATATTATTATTTAATTCATATTATTATTTAATTTATATTATTAACATTATTCATACCATTTACCCTCATTCCGGTTGTGCTCGTGCCTCCAAACGAGAGTAAACTCGGGCAATAAAATTGGTCTGCATATGAGGTCGGTCAGATCTATCAAATATAAACCTGCCGGTTGTAGAGCACCTTCATTCAGCCACTCCAATGAAATTTTTTTCTCACTAGGCCGTTGTAGACGAAGCCAGGCTTAAAATTTTGGGGGGAGGCGTCCAGGTCGAATTCCAAGGGATTTCTTTCGACGTGGAGGATTGTGGATTTCGTGAATTCGATCCCCGTCCCCTTCTCCTTCACTGTGGCCGTGATGGTAATATATCGCGGAGCCAGCACCTTGTTGTCCATGCCTAGGGCCTCCGTCGGAATGCTTTCCTTGTGGCAGCCATTCACCTGCAAAATATTGTGCAAAATTATGCTATTTTATTTTCAAAAATTGTGTAAATCGTAATTTATGATATCGGTGAGAGAAAACAAATTTTCCCTCCTTTCTCTTCGGCTCACCTGCAGCTTGAAAACAGGCGCGTATTTGTTCAGATCGATGGCGAATTCCTTCACCAATGCGGGATATTTGTCCCGGAATTCGTCGAATATGGAGATCTTCGGTTCCACCTTGAGCGACAGCTCGCCTTCCACCGCTCCGCCGTGGGTGTATCTGAAGATCGCGAAGGCGCGAGTGCCACACTCGTTATTAAAAGTTTGATCATATAGAAAAAGTCTATAGCCCAAATGTTGCGTTTTTTAATTAAGTCTGCCGATTGCTCTCGAAATACTTTTGTTACCGAGGCAACAAGCGCAAAACGGATGCGTTGCGTCCTCTTCAGAACTTTTTTTTCCGGACGAAAATATCCAGGTGCATCAGCATAAGTTTTTCATTAAGTTAACCGTTTTTCAGGTTCTGTTATGTAAATAAATGCGAATATAAGCAAGCATGACAAGAGATATGAGTGGAGACGCAGACCTGACGCAAATTTTCAGATCCAAGGTGGATGCATCCCCAAATAAGACCTTCGGCGTCTGGATGTTCACGGAATACTTGGGGAGAACGTACTCGGCGACCTCGAATTCTTTCTCCTTTATCAAACTTCTCCCCCTCGCGTCCATCATGATCGTCCAGTTTCCCTATCGCATAAAAGGCGATATATCCCCGGCCTCAGTTAATTGGAGGCTAGTAGTGAGTGCAATACTAACCTATAGTACTGCAATAGCACAGCGCTAACGAATTAGGCGTGGTAAAAAAAAATTATAATCCCAAAATCCTAATCGCAAAAATGTTGGATTAATTCTCATGATGAAATGATCCTCATAATCAGACTCTTTGAATGAAAGCCAGTTATGCTTCGCAAGCGATTTGGATATGGTAAATACACTAAGACAAAATGAAATAAAACGAAAAACCAAACTGCAGTGATATACTTTTTATGCAGTTCCATCAGTACATTCAATCGCTACAAATTACATATCTCTCATTTAAATCTAATATTAGGCATAGAAACATGAGTCATTCCGACGCATATAGATAACTGAACGTTTAATGAACTCATCATAACCGTAGACATGGAGTAGCCCAATATTAAATCATTAATGAGTTCTTGAGTTATAAAAAATTCGAACGAATACATTTTTATAATAAATATTGTTTCTATTTGATAAATATACTCGAAATACCTTTACGGTAAATTACCTTAAGGTATTGCTCTGAAAGTAAAACTGACCAGAAGTGGCTCCTGGGAGAGTTCGAATTCGAGTTGGACGAAGCCGGCTATGGACTCTGGCTCTTTCCACTGGGCCATTCGGACGCCCGATGGATTCGCCACCCAGACTTCCGTGACCTGCAGCCATTATGTGAATTCGTTTCATGAGGAAAAATGTGAAAATTTCCATTAAAAATGGCCGTCCTGGTGGAATATCATTTTCTACTAGCGGAGCCCCGCGCTTATTGCGCGAAATTACTATGTAGCTATTTCCAGATTTTACCGCAAATAATTAATATCTTGAAGCCGTCCGTGGAGCCTTTCTGTTTTTCCTAAAGTTCAGTGATGATATCTCACTAACCGCAGATTCGATGTAGTCGATTCCTTTTTTATTGGGATTTTCAATTGACTACTATGGCCTAGAGTTTTTATCCTTAATTATGAGATGGTCGAGCGCACTGATTGGTTGAGTTCGAATGTTGATGTTCAACATGTGAACCTTGATGTTCGTCTGTGTATTTGTGCAGAAAAAATATGAATAGTACTGAATTATTTTAGAGTTATCAATAAATTTGTCTTGCGGTAATCGGAGTTAAAACTGGAGGAAAGCGCTATTCCCTCATGAGAATTTCGAAGAGAAGCGCGATGACCTCCAGATACCAAGAAATTCGAGTAAAAGAGGTTCAAGTTTTCGAGAGTTGACCGTAAATATAGACGGCCGTGACTGAGTGAGCGACTGACGCTAATTCTAACCATGTTCTATAGAAGTTAGAAATCTGAAACTTGGTACATTAGTAGCTTTTGGGATGTACAGTTCAGAAATGATCTGATTTTGGAGGTCCATGCCCTTGGTGCACCAATTTTTAGTGGAGATGTTTTCAAGGATATTTATTTGCTTCAGCCAAACGGAGAGTCATGGAAAGCATAAACTTGGCATAGACGTGCCATTCTTGGCCATTGAACTCAGGAAAAAAAAGTCAAATCTCAGAGGCATGCCCTGGAAGCATACTTTTGAAGGGTGGACTGTTCAAGTAATTATTTTTTGTCCTAGGGAATCTGGCAGAAATAGAAAGATGAAACTTGGTACACAACAAGCTATTGGGGTACTGAGTTCAGAAAAATGCAGAATTTGGAGGTAAACGCCCTGGGGCACAATTTTAAGGGGGATATATTTTCAAGAAATGTTTGCTTCATTGAAATGGATGAACATGGAAAGCCTAAACCTTGCACAAATGTGAATACTGAGCCAAGGTGTTCTGAAAAATGTTAAGTTTCGATAAAATAAAAAATTGAAAAATATGCCCCTGGGGGCATATTTTTCATGGTTGACGGGTTCAAATGATTTTTTTGTCTTAGCCAATTGGACAGAAATAGAAAAATTCGGCGGCCCTAAAATTCAGAGGCTCTCTCAACTCTAGGTAGCAGCTGCTCTATCCCTTTATTGACCAGAACCCCTTTCTCGGATTCATTGCACTTTCACCTGTTGATCATAACCTTGTCTGCATCGTCAGTTAAGTCCATCACCATCAATCATCATGAAAACCTATGAGTGAAACATACAAATATGGGCCAGGATGATAATAACCCCAAAGGCGATCAAATGATAAGCCCCCCTGTTCAATCCCACCTAGATGGGATCCCTCTGCTTCCACCCTCGGGAGTTATTCTTCACGCCAAGGATAACGGGACTCCGAGCTTCGTAATTGCGTTTTCTCGCATGAAAGTTCGTATCGAGGGTGAACAACCCGTTGTTAGGGGAGGGGGCAAGGCGTACAATGACTCTTTCTCCCATTCCCAAAAATAGATCCGACAATCGCGAAGGCCGGAGAGAGAATGCGAGCTCGAGCGCGCGAGACGGGCACCCTAACCCACAGAAGCCTTCCAGGAATTGTTTCTCGGTCATTCCCGAGTTTAGTCGGCAGCCTTAAACTCAGCGGCCCTCTCAAAGATATAAGCAGCCGCTCTATCCCTTTCTCGAGAATGACCTGTGGAAGACTTCGACGTACTCCGGGTCGGTCTAGGCCAAGGGTGTCTAACTGCCGGCCAGCTGGTTGATCTCGTCCGGACCGCAAAGTTCTCTTCAACAGTTGCTTTTGAAGAGGCGTAGACTTTTTCAACCTATTAGTAATTGAAACTTTAGTGTAAGGTTTTCTCTTAAGGGTTCTATCCGTCTCCCAGCTTAATCAAGTTTGACATCTTTGGCCTTGGCTAATCTTGTAACATTGTCGGGAATCAACGAATTCAGTCAGCGGCTCTTTGAACAATACTTGGCAACCGCTTCTCCCGCTGTCGAGGACGGATCCGACAGTCGCGAAAGGTCGAAAGAAACTGCGAGTTCAAGAGCGAATCACAAACCCCAACCCGTGGAAGACATCCACGAAATCCGGGTCAGTCGAGTCTAAGCGTGTTGCATTTTCGGGTATTCACGAGTGCATTCAGAAGCCCTATTAACTTTCTACGTAGTAGACGCTCGGACATTGTACGCCTCGTGCATCCCCTCCTCCCCTCCCCTTACCCACGGGGGTGTTCACGCCTACGATAGGACTTATTTAGAGTAGCACTCTTATCCCGTATCGATCGCGACCGCGTGCGTATCGTCCGTGAAGTTCATCTCCACCACCTTTCATGTTGGTCTATGAGTGAAAAATACGCTTGAGAATCGGGAATGTTACTACGCGGCCGGCGGTTACCATCCGATCCAAGGTAAGCACTCCTGTTCTATCCTGTAAAGATGGAATCTCACCCCTTTCATCCTAGGCATTCATTCTCTTTGTGAGAGTGCCGATCGATACGAAGACGGGGTTCTAATTGATAAAAGAGGCTGAGATCTTTTCCCAGCAAGGAAGTCATCCTTACTCCAGTTGGATGAAATGGAACTCGAAGTGTTATAAGCGGGGGCGTTTAACACGCACTCGCGGGAATGCCTGCATCGAAGTGTGAACACCCCCTAACCGGCGGGGAGGGGGGAGGCGCAAGACGTACAATTCCTCTCTCTCCCTTTCTCAAGAATGGATCCCCCAATGGCTGGAGATGAAGTGCTAACTTCATCTCCAACCATTGGGGAACATTGGGGAACTTCAGGTTCGTTCTCTCTCGGGACACATTTTGACGGGCACAGACTTTTAATACGTTTTAAAATAAATTATTTTACTTCAGACAAAACAAACACGTAGAAAGCTAAAAATGTATGTGAATGTACGTGGGAATAGGGAGTTTTTTCAAACGAATGAAACAAATTCCTTAAATATACTAGTATATATTTGCATAACGTCGCAACGCGGTTTACCATCATACATGAGCGTATTTTATTTGAAGATTAATTTCGTGTGACTAATATTACAGAAATAAAAAAGTGCATTACCATCAATAAATATTTTCATTATCTAGAGGTACCTCGGCAGTTGCTCCTTAATGTTCATTTTTCTTCCATAGTATTTTTTCTCTAAATTTATCAGTTTTTTTTTCCATTTGACATAGTCAATGACCTTCAAGCAAGTAAGTTCTTCTAGATATCGACCAGCAAGCATTTACGTAAGCAACCAAGTGACTGTCTCTCCCAGTGAACTCCAAAGCTTCTTCCCACTTTCATCCCATTTTCCCTCCTCGTCAAACCAGTGGAATGAATCAAACCTGTTTCTCGAGGGGCTTCAGGGCAGCGTCGAGCACGAGGATCCTGAACCGGACGACCTGCCCGGGAAGATAAATGGACTTGTCTGTTTGAACAAAGAGGAGGTTTGGGTATTTGCTGATGGTCACCCGCTCACTGTCGTTCTTCTCGTAGTCCGGCACGGCATCCAGCGTGAGCTGGAGGTGCAGCCTCCCTAATTGCTCCGGCACGGGAGGCACGGGGAACGGAAAGCATTCCTCGCTCCCTGCAGCATCGATATGCCAAAAAAACAGTACGGTTATGCATAGAAGGATAATGTATCATTTTATATAGCATTTTATTACAAGAACATAAAACAGAAAGGAAGGAGGATGATAAAACCCTATAAAAATCGGTTTCATTCCTCTTTAAAGACATCTATACCGTTTTTCTTAAGTTATTCCTTTTTTTTCAGAGTTCCCTGAGGTTAGTGACTTGGAATGAGTGAACCATCAAAGCCGCAAGAAAAAAAAACTTACTAAACAAAAACTGGGTCAATTGAGTATTAAAATGGTTCCAAAAAAAAGACTTCGCCAAAGGCAGCCGACATATGCTTGAGACTTTAGTCAAATACCAAAAATTGATAATAAAAAATAGAAGAACAGATTTTATTATTATTTGTGATAATTGCGAGAAAAAGGATGATGAAATGTATTTTGGAAATTTTAGCTATTTAATTGCGAAAGCATGGGAATTTCACTCATTTAAGTTTTCGCAATGGAAATGAACACGGAAGCGAAATGCAAGCCTATTTGAACGACAGTTGACATTCCCACGGACCCGGTTGGTTTCCCATTATTCCCCTCGCATTCATGCATGCTCATTTCCTCGCATGCTTCTTTCATCGGCGACATCATTCTCGAACCGAATCCCAATTGTCCCCGTTGCAACTCGATCGGGCGTGATGCAATTGAGCCTTTTCCGTTGAAAGCTGTTTGCTTTGGGAGTCAGAATGAGTTTCCCCGGGCAAAATGACTCATTTATATGTGGTACAATAACTGGGATAGCGGAAGAGTACCGTCAGCGAAGGGATGGTCGAGGGTGGCCAGGGTGGCTTCATCCCACCTTCCCGTCAGGGTCAGTTTGGCCATGCCTCCTCCTTCCAAGTTCAGCAGGGAGAGGCATATCTGCTCGGTGGAGTTCGAGTGGAATATCTTTGGCGCGGTCAGCAGGTACCCCCTGAAACATAAAAAATTGAGCACTAGGAAATTCAGCGACTTCCTTTAGGTTTCTTTTGGGGGTTATATTTCGGACCTTAAACCGGATTATAGAGGTTTTATCATCCGCTTTGTAATGCGACAGTCCTTGGATTTACTGCTGATGAGATATGCTAGACCAAGAAATACCGACATTCCGATCATTCCACTGATTACAAGGGAGAAGGGGAGGGGGGGGGAGGAGAAAGAGTTGTCGAACCAAGCACCAAGAATATGCTGATTTCCAAAGTCTCCGGAAATACCAAAGCTTAATTATCTGGGGAAATTAAAAGAATGGGCATTCAAATCATGAATGTTATGACAGATTCGAGCAATACAATTAGGAATTATTTTAGGAATGATTTTAAGAATGACTTCAAGTGACATTTTCAGTAAATACTTCGAAAAATGATTTAATCGGATATCGGAATCGGACCCAAATCAAGAACTTGAAATCGATTAATTGGAACTTGCATATCCCGTTTAGGCTTTTTTTAAGCTAAAGGCAAGTCGACGTGAATGTGATTGAGTGAAAGGCGAAAAGGGCCAAAAGGGACCATAGATTTTGCGATTCAATATTGACGCCGCGACCTCTGGAAAAATGATTTTGGCAAATTGAGTGTAAAGACGGAGAAGGCTTTAGGAAAGAAGATTGTGGTCAAGCGCACACTATTGTGGTCGATCGCGCCTCTTATCCGCCAGATTGTCGGTCACAATCTCTTAGAGGGCAGAAGGAAGCGAGTTTGCAAACTTCCGCATGCACATGTGCAAAATGCTCAGCAATCGCATCGCGCAGCAGGAAGCAGTTAGGGCTTTTGGAAAACGTTGGTCTCATTTATGTGACGCATTGTAGCCTCATTTATGTGAAGAAGTTGTTACTTCCGAACGATCGAGGCGATTATGCTGCTTGGGAAAAAGGAGAAAAAGAAACGAGAAATCCCGGATGTGCACCATTTATTCTGCAGTAAACCGTCGTGAGGAAAAACGTGAAATCACCCTGTCCTCATATTATTCATGGCGGGAAGCGTTCATCAATCAATATGCATCAATCGACATGCATACGCGGAAGCCTCCGTAAGTTCCCCATCAATAAGCATACGGGAAAACCTCTGTTATACCTCTGTTACCTCCCCGTCGGGGAAGCGTTCACGCCGAGGATCCGCGCGTTCAGCTCTCCATCGGCTTTCGTTCTCCGATCGTTTCCGAGTGACTGGGTGATCTTCGCTCCTTTCTTTGCGTTGTCCTTGACTATAGAGGGTATGCTAATGGCGTCCTTGGCCGTGGAGACCAATAAATGGATGTTCATCTCGCATTCCCATTCTCCCCTGGGGATGCGTTCGTATTTCCATCGCTCTTTAGCATTCTCGTGCGCTGAAGGTTGACATGCATCCGCAGAGCAAGAGGATTCCGAAGCGGAGACCTCGCCGGGAAAAGTTTTTTTTCTCACATTCACTCCCTCAAAGGGCTCTACAACGAGCGAGGCATGTTCAATTCGTCGAATGTGCGTTCGGGATTCTCTGGAGGAGGAACTGTGTCGCCAGTGTCGACCCCGATATGGATGGCCCGGTTCTCGAAGAACAGAAGGGAAATTCGCCAGAAGTTTAGGATTATTCTGGGCGGAATCTAGTTTTCGAGGCGGATGATCGACAGCCCGGTAACAGTCCGAGGGGGGAACAAGGATAGTCTGTGGAAATGTTTCGTGTGATGGCATCCCATAACATGCCAAGTCGATTTTCGACGAAGTTCACTCGACACTCGCTGTTATTATATAATTTCTATAACATTTACAGTATATCATCGGTCCAACAAAATTACTTGTTCACAGTCTAATGAGTCTCCGGACGATCGGATGAAAGACGTTTCGAGTGCATGTACCCAATAAACGCCGTATTTTATCGACTTCGTCACCACCCACGAAATCGGTATTGGTCGACTTCGAATGATGGTGTCATGGGGTATTGGCATGAGGGAAAATATTGCCGTTTGCTGGGAAAGGTCGTTAATATCAAGAAAGCTAATTCGATTCCAGGTGGGAGAATTCTTCTTCGTTTCTCGTTTGTTCGTCTATCTTTCTGCCGCGATTAAAGGAGACTGATGAAGAAAGTCGCGGACACAATTCTGCAAGAATGCGAGCGAACATACAAATGTGTTACTGAGAGTGAAATTCCTTTTTGGTCTTGAAAATGAGACTGAAGAAATGAATTCGTGACGGTCTTACCTTTCTTTTTCTGTTTCCTCGGCTGAGGAAAGGAGGAAGAAGGCGGGAAGGACGAGGAGGGCACTCGACCACTTCATCCTAACTGAATCCGTCGCAGATTGACTTCTTTCTCGTCGAGGGATCCGGCCTTGCCACAGGCACTAGGGGTTGCCGGGAAGATGTCACGAGCACCTTCTGAGACGTGACTTGGGTTGAGTGGAGTGGAATGAACGGATCAAGGTTGAAAGGAGAATACTTTTATTTTTAAGAAGTTGCCTCAACAAAAAATGGAACAGGGGTTAAGGAGAGGGGAGAAACGGCAAGAGAAGAAGAGGATAAAAAATAAATAAATAAGTACTCCAAAGAAAGTGATTCAAAAAGAAGTCAAGGAGAAAAGAGAAAATGAAAGAGTAAATGAACAAATTAGTAAATAAATAACTAAATAAAAACACAAGCAGGAGAATAACGTTAAGCAAATATAATCAAGACGGAGCCAGCCAAGAAACAGGGGAGAGAATTTGAAGCAGCTGGAGCGACTCCCAGTGCACCAGCTGCTTCAAATGCTTCGTGGGAGCATTTAAAGCAGCTGGTGCACTGGGAGTCGCACAAGGATCTGAACTCACTGCAGAAGGCTATTGAGGCAGCTTGAGCTTCCCTGACTCCCGATTTTTTTTCGGGAAAAAGTGTGCATTGTTTCAGGGAGAGGCTGAATCTGATCGTTTAAAATGGTGGCGCGCTTTAAAGAATGCAGAGTTTATTAAAATTATTTGATAGTTTGGTAAGTAAAATTTGACGATATTATTATACATGCCAATTTTTGTGGAATTCCATCAAACGATGGAATGAATGGAACGATTGAATGGCGTGCGTTTACTTTTGGGACTTTAATTTTGGGACACTGTACTTCTCTCAGCTATGGCTAAGTAGTGCAATTTCTTTTTTAATTCAACGAAGGACGTGGGTATCCTGAACGTACTGCATGCAAAAAAGATAGGGGTTGCCAATCGTTAAGGTTGGTATTGATTAGTTTCTAATGTTGTTTTCGAGCATCTAAGCTACCCATAATGAGAATTTGGGGATCGAGGTGGAGTGGAATGTCGGTATCTAGACAAAATGTCATAATTTGTGACCATTGTTGGAATGCAAGTGGGCAGTCTATGCCTGAAATTATTTTAAGTGGCACTGACCGTCATTAGGGCAGATGCGGCAGTCTGAGAAATCAACCTTCTTGGTGAAGAAATCTAAAGGTGGGGAGTGTGCAGTTTAATTATCTAAATTGAGTAATGCAGATATTTGGCGCCTTCATCAGTTGTCTGGGGAGGTGGACAACTATCCCAAGTGAAATCTCTCAATGAAATAGATCCCAGCTTCTCGGACCATCTTAGTAGGGCAGTACTCATGGTTAAAGAACTGGGATGAGAACGGTTCAACAGCGATGCGTATAACTGCCTTGTTGAGAGTGAAGCTTTGGTGGAAACAAGATTGATCAAATCCAAATTGATCAAATCCAGAAGTAAGATTATCGGAGTCAGCCGCCTCTCAACGCACGTTTCCTACGCAGTGGAATTGAGTTCAGGATTTGAGTGTAGTCAATAAAGTGTACGTTCATTGAATACCTACAGTAATGTTAGCTTCGGTCACATTATAAAAAGAGTTTAGGTTTGATATTAGGTCTTTCACAAACCTTACTCCTGCTTCGATGAGATCTCTCCTCTGGGAAAAAGGTAACTGAAGGTCGATAAAGTGGTTTTAAAAAAGCGCCTGTTCTCAACACTAATATGGAGACCTGATATTCTACCGAAAAAGGTCTATAATTTCCAGTACCTTTCTTACGGAGCGTTCAGACCCATCCAAAAAAAAAATCATAAGCATATTGTGATATCCTCACCTCTTTTCCAAACACATCAATACCTCTCACATCTGGGTCATTTCTTATTCGGGTTGCAAGAGGTTAAACAGCAAGGACAACAAGGTAGGGACATAGGGGGCAACCTTGCCTCACTCGCACTTAACAGGGAAATCCGAGGAAAGGTTCCAGTATGCACTGTCAAAGCATCTTTCTATTAAATATGTACCCACCATTGTCTCTCGGGGGCAATATCATAGAGTTGCAAACAGTGAGGAAGATATTCATGATTCAGTTTATCAAATGCCCTCTCAAAATCAGCAAAGAACAAATGATCGGACTTAGTGTTGTCACACTATTACTTCTTCACGAGTCTAATATTGTCGGAGACATTTCTTCCACTAAGCAATCCGGAATGGTGAACCTGTATAATGCTATTCAAAGCCTTCTTAAGTTCGAGAGCGACGCATTTACTGACTTATCTACTGATCTACTGATCTATGATCTACTGATCTTATAATCCACATGTAAAACAAATGACAAAGGGCTTCTATTTTTTCAGGTTCCTTGGGTCCTTATTGTCTTTCCGAAGCAACGAAGTATTTCCTCTTCTCCGTTCCACGCCAACTTCTCCTGAAGAAAATACATCCGTCATCATCTCTATCTTTTAGTTTCTCCAAAAACACTTAATAAAATTCAACAGGAAAACTTCAGTTCCAGGTGTTTTGTTATTTGTTATGCTCGTAATACAATTTCAGATATCTTCAGAGATAACAATTTGTGGTTGCGAAGTGGAGGAGATAACATGCACTGTCTATTAAGAGGGGTAACGAGGGGGTCAACTGCCTCATCACGAAATAAAATTCGCATAAATGTCAATAAAATTGGTTTATGTGTTCTATTTTGGATGGACTTGAGACTGGCGAGTTATCTTTTGTCAAGTGGTAGGTTATTAGTTTCTTCCTGGCATTTCTATTTTCCAGACTGAAAATGTATTTTGTTGGTTTCCCTCCTTGCTCGATCTACCTCGCCCTAGATCGAATAATTGAACCTATCGTCTTATCTTGGTGAGGTTCATCTAGCTCAGACTTACAAATGATAAATTTCGTTTCCGAAGTTCAGTCATCATGCAGAGAATTAAGGCTGCTACAGCAGGTCAGGTGATGTAGTGATTCCAGCGCTGCTCCTAACGCTTCTAGTTTAGCTTTTTGACTCCTACGACTTTCGCTTGCAAGTTTGATGACGACACCTCTATTGTAGCACTTCCCATTCAATAGTTTTAGACTTGATTGAGACGCGATTGACTTCCATAAATTGATTAATCTCCAGTCTATGAGATTCAAAGAATTCAAGGTCGTCAAAAGATGATCCTGATCGGAAAAGAAACAGGGAATTATCTCTGAGGTAGACGTTCCCGATACCATGGAGTTATTTAGTAGAAAGTAGTCTATTCGGACTAAGAGAGGTAAAGTTTTTCACGCCCGGATGATGAAGGCTCTGAATGTCTATAAACACTTTCTCCTCTGTTTTCAAGAATAATCGCCAGAGACCGTAAGTGCGTAGTTGGAATGCCACGTTCTTTGTCCACGTTAACATCTTACAGGCAATTCCAATCGCTCCCAATGAATATGTCAGAGCCCTCAAATACCGACAAAGCCTGAATCCATTTTTAAAAAAAATTAGGTTCTCCCAAGCTACAAGGATCATAGACGGTGG